ACTACTGAAATTTAATTTGGTTAGTAGATTAGGGCAATGTAATATTCCATTGAGTAATTAAAAACTAAGTGGAAATCTGACCTTATTTTTCTCGTTTCTATTGATACAATGTTTAAAAACGTTAACATTGGCTGGCAGGAGGAGTGAGGTTGTCATATTACATTACATTTAAATGATGCTATTCTTAAAAACCGATTTTGTATTGATTCTATATAGCTTGTATTGAACCTGCCGTATTTGGTGATCAAATTATAGAGTTAAAGTCAAGCATTGAGCCTAAATATGCGCAGTATAATATGTTTTCAACAAAACTGAATTTTTAAAATCTTTGCAGCTTCTGTTTATAAGACTTAACATGGACGACGCTTTGCTTGCATATGTGCGTAATGAATGTTAAAAGTGACCGACTTGTCAAAATAGATGCCTAAATCCTTATTTTGGTTGACACGAGTTTCATATCATTTAAGTTGTAATTATAAAGGTATGTGGATCGCTTTTTCGAAAAAAGTCATTACTTTACATTTGAGGATATTTAGATTATTATAGTCACACCAAACATATAAATAGCTCAAGTCATTTTGAAGCATCGTCAGATGTTTTGATAATGTATGAAAAACTTTAAGATCATCGTCAAATAATAACATATGTGAACTTAAGAACAAAAGATCAATGAAAAAAAATTAAATAATAGTGGTGCAAGATGAGATCCTCGAGGGATTCTAGAGGTGTGGTCACATTAAAGCAACTGAAACAAAAGTATTTGTATTTAAAGCATTGGTTTCTACTAGTGATAAAAGATACTAGCCACGAGAGGAAGGGTCTCGAAAACCTAGACATTGTTATTTGATAGCAAGGATATTTGGATCAATTGTATCAAATGCTTTTTAAATGTCCGTAAACACATCATCGACCTGGTAGCCTGATTTAAATGCACCCAGGATATAACGATGGAATGTCAGAAGATTTGTTATAGATCTTTCCGATACAAAGCCATGTTGTTCACTAATAATAATATTTTTAAATAATGGATTAATTATTTTAGACACAATACTCTCAAATATTTTTGGGGTAACTGAAACTATTGAAATTGGACGATATTTTGATACTTGACTGATATCGCCGCCTTTGGAGATGGGTGATACGTAGCTTTTATGTAACCAATGGCAACTATTCATACACAAATTATAATAATTTTTACTATTACTATTTTATAATCTGTGTAAGTAAAATATGTAAATTAAGTGTATCTATTACCAACTATAAATTATTAAAAATATAGTATTTAAAGATACTTTTGTTCAGTTTAAAATATAGAAGTCGGGTGGGGAGGGTTTATCAGAAAATTTTCAAATCCTTGAAAAATTCTTAAATTTCCGGTTTATAAAAATGCCATCATTGATTTAAAAATGATCTGATATCCGGCTTTGGTAATATACCTATATGTTAACTAAACAAAATATAAAACTCCTATATGTTAACTATAAAAAATATAATACATTATACATAATAATACATATTAATAGTAACACTTTTAGTAACGTTCTACGTAGTGAAAAATAAATTGGCTTAACGCGAAAAATAAGATTATAGGTGATGTAGCTTCATTATTGCTGTTTATTTATGTTACTCGTAATTTAGTCCTTATACTTTCTTACTTCCTTAGTAAAACAAATTATGGTTTGGATTCTCAGAATCGCGAATATCAGCAGTATTTAGGTTTTCATTATAATATATATTATAATCTGTTGGAATTACTAATTGTCTGTACAGTTAGACGAAAAACTTTCAATACTAACGACTTCAACTTGAAATAATACATAAATTAATCAAGAATTATTACTGTTATTAATATAAAACTAATTGGATAATTCTAACTAAAAACATTATAATTCCCTTAAAATAGATATGATTTAATGAAAATATGTTGTGTACAGAATAATCTAATACAATAGAATATAGTTAAGTCAAAACTTAGAAATTCCATATAATGTGACTAAAATTAATTGACCTTATTATGTCGAGAAATTCATTTTACAGTTTAGAAATTTCCTTCGGAGGTTTTAGTATAATTTATGGATATCTATTATCCACAAACAGCTCTTATGTTAAAAGTTTATTAAAATCTTTGTAGTTTTATTCTTCTAAGTTTAAAAATGTTATGCTTAAAAATTATGTAAATAATTTATACTTCAAATATTTGAAAATATTCACAAAATATGCGAATAAAAAGTATTTAAAATGTTTGTAGGTATGTATAAGTATAAAGTTCTTACTTTCTTAGATCCGTTTCATGAAATAAAAATTGACTGTCTTTATTACATGTCTTTAGTTCGAAATTCTCTCACAAATATCTATGTAGTGTGAGGATGACTATTGGATACACTTAATGTATATTATTTATTTCATCATTAAAATTACGAATTAATAGTTATCAAAATTAACTATCAAAAATCATTAAAAAAAAAAAAACAACTAATTAATAGTACTCATAGGTATTGCACACCTAATATATCAAATTTCGTTACGATATAAAGTTTTATATTACACAGTAAAACATTTAGGTACATTAAAATAATATAATATTCATTCGAAAATATTAATTAAAAGTTGGAATGATTTCGTACGAAGATTTAATCAAAATAATAAAACAACGTGGTGCTCTGTACAGGTTAGTACTGCGGGAAGATTATTTTGGCCTAAATTATATTCGTTATAAACTATAAATTATTTGTTTTTAATTTTAATTTTACTAACACGATTTACGCTTAAATTATGTGAAAAAAATGGTATGCATTATTATACAGGTACGTAATATGTGTGTTAATTTTGTCACATATTTAACCGTTTTAAATGTTTTGTTTTTGTTACTGTTTTTTTTAATTTTGTAACTGACGTTCAGAAATCAAAAACAATAATTATTGCAACAGACAACTTAAGTAATATTATAATATTATAAATATTTATTTCGTTTTGACAAGTGATCAGCACAATATATTCAAATTTGGACAATTCTTGTTTATCAACACATCATGATGTCTGTTCGTACGCATGTATTTAAAAAAAAATACAACCATTAGTCATATTCGCTTTTCACACTATACGAGGCGATTTTTTCTACTGTTAAGTGTTAAGAGTTTAAAAGGGTACATTAAGTCCGTTTCCAAATAGCTTAAAAAAAACAGGCACGTCATGATAAATGTATAATGACAGACGACTGGCTTATTTATTTTCTCATTGTGTTGTTTTTTTCAGAGCTCTGCTATGCAGTAGACAAAATGATCTATATAGAAAAGATATCTCCTTAAAATAACCATTAACCATGTTATTTATTGTTGGTGATGATGAGCTTGAAAACGAGAATAATTCAATTAGAATAAAAAGCATATTATGACATTATGAACCAATATAGACATAGTAATCACACTGGTACAAAATATCGAAATGAAACGTACAGTTGTATGCGTGTTTTATTGACGTAAAGTAATACATACCTCTGTTTAAATAATTAAGTGAAACAATTATTATGCCATTAATATTTTTTTTTTTTTTTTTTTTTTCCTGAGCCCGGCAACTGTGGCCATTAGCTTTTTTTTTTTTTTTAGTAGGTATTGTATATTTGTAGGTTTGTATTGATTGTTTGTAGATTTTTTTGGTACGGTAGGGGGAACCCGTGTGTGTTTGTTTTTTGGCAGAATTTCGAATGGGGCACCCGTAGGTTTCTGCCATGCCCCGGGGGTGGGGGATGGCAGCACTTGTTCTCCGGTCACCGCGACTTGTCCGGAGAAAAATGCCGCCCGGTGGCCGAGGATCGAACCGCGACCGGCTGCGTCGCAGCGGAAGAGTCAGACCACTCGGTCACCTCGTCCCCCGCCATTAATATTGTTATACCGAATAAAACCTAAAGACGTAATAATAATAATAATATTGATACTGCATTTGACGATAAAACGGTAGCTCATACACGATTTAGGTACTTACCTAGGACGTTTTGTTTGGTAAACAAACTAAGCGAAACGGGTAGTTGTTGATGACAATAAAGATATCAATAACTATAAAATGCTATAAAACGAAATAAAAATTCAGTTTTAGTGTACGATGACTGCAGTGAATCGATAATTATTTTAATCATAATCTACGAGTTAGTAAAATACTAAAACCGTTTATCTGCAAGAATTTTACGAATATAATATTGATTTCGTATTATTAGGTAATGAATATTTTTTGTGAGCTCAGAAAAATACTATAAATTCCTATGTTTCAGTGATAAGTAAATAAAAAGTCATTCATTCGCATTTATAACCACTCAATCGTGAAAATATGCATTCCCATCATAAGTTATGTGTAAATACTAAATATAGTGATTTACAGCTGGCCTAATTTATGATCACACACATCTCTCTCCTGCAAGAAGAGCAGCCTGTCTATGAGTATATTTTTGTTTTAGTTTGTATATACCCCCCTCCCCCGAAAATCGATTTATGGGCGCCCCTGCTGGTATAATGCGAGTTTATATTGTTATCTACATAATTAACTGTATATAATATAACTGTACATAATATATGTGTATTATATAGAGAGAGTTTTACAGGTAACCTATCTATATAATATGTTCCACTGTTATGCACTGCGCGACATAATATTATTATTATAATACTCACGGCGTATATACATATTGTATATAAACTTATATATGTATATAATAGACATGTGTATATAGTAAAACGTTATACGAGGATCGCCGCGGGACGCGCGACGGCGGCGAGCGGAGGAAACCGACTATTCTATATGCATCGGCGACCGAGAGAGCGGGCGAGAGACCGGCGAGGGGATGCGCGCACAACTGTGCGGCGGGGAAGCGACCTCGTGGAGAGGGTGAAACGGCGAGAGGGTGCGACAGAGGACGGGACGGGATTCGCGCTGCGACCGGCATGCGCACCGGCAGACGGGGGTGGGATAAAACACTTTTCCTGCAGATTTCTCCCCAGTCGCCCCGTGCGAACCCTTCTCGCGGTGTTCACGGAACGACATCGCACTCTCTGTCCGCGATCACGGGGACGAGAAGTTTGACCCCGTTAAGTCGGTTTCGCGTCTCTGACACCTGTTGAGTACAGTTGTAATTCGCGACCGCGGCGTGTACATTGGGTAGGTAATTTTATCCACTCATTAATCGTATATACGCACGCATTTGCATTCCGTAATATGACGACGGTATGAATAAAAGTGGTTTATAAGTAAATTGTTAGTAAAATTAAATACAACAATATAATATCATCTTCGCCGGATGACGACCGTATCGCCACCGTCATGTTCGTAATCGCGGATCGCGTGCATCATTGCCAATCGTCGTGTCGTGTTTTTTAAAAACCCCACACACTCCGCGATAATTAATTGATAATAATATATAAAATAGTTTAATTTAAATTCAATTTTATGTAAAATCCTCGCGTATTGTACGATATCAGTTAGTATCGAAAACTAGTGGATTGGTAGCTCCGTCGTCGAACAGACCGTGTCGTGTACATTGTTTTTTTACGTCACTAAAATATTATAATCTAATAATAAGCGTCGTCGTCGGTCCGGTCCAGTGAGATTCGGTGCGGACTAGTTGAAAACTCGAAAGAGTTTCGTGTACGCGATCACCACTCATCAATTGTCGGTCACCTAAACCTAGGTATATAGTATTATTGTACACACCGGCCGAGTAATCAGGTAATTATACATTTACATTATTGGTAAATAATATTATCCATTTATGTATTTTTTCCAATCGTTATTTGCGTATTATTGAGTATCCTATACACGGGATTTTCGACGGGTGAGTACGAGCGCCGGATTAAAGGTCCCTGAAGGGCACACTGGTGTTAAGCATCCCTCAGGTAGTCAGCCAAATTGCGATTGTAAGCTATCGGCCCAGTTTTTTTTCAGGTAAAAATACTATGCTCAGATCTTTTCATATCTAATTAATTATTATATCTTGTAATATTTTCGAGATCTATTTAGCATAAAACAAAGGACAGCATGCGATGAGGTGATTTTCATCATCCTCCAAAAATTATTTCCTTTTATTTTGATTTTCATATTATTAATAAGTATGCAAATTATCGTTGTACAGAAATAAATTATGTAAAATGTGTATACAACATAATATACATACGTTATATTTTCTTTAATTTATTATTTTCCGATTAAATATTATGTCGTGCATAATATATTTTATCGGTGAAAATTATTAGTTTACAATCGACCCTTTTCATTACCTGACATTTCCGGGCCGAGCTTCACTAAGGTAATCGCAGGCCCAGTTTACATTAACCCAGCCCAAAATTGAAACCTGACAACTATCGTTTAAATTTTTTTTACTACAAAAATCACAATCAGTGTTAATTATTTTGCTATTATTATTATTATTATTATAATTATCATACAAACTATTTTAAAAGACAACTGAAAACAAAATATTTTATGATTTCTATGTAAACACTTTCTATTCATATTTTAACTATATACTGTTAATTTTAGTTTGTTATTATTTTAAATTAATTTAAAAGTATAATTCATCATTTGCAGTTATGCCTATAATATTATATGAGGTATATTGGTATATCAAAATATAATTTATAAAAAATTGGCTTATCAATTAAGCCAAATTAAGGTCAAGTCAGTTTTTGTAGAAAATTTTACTATTTTAGTGGGAATTTTCTTACTAAGTATTTTACAACAGCCGCATTGTTAGTAAATATTATAAAGTTGTGGGTATGCAGAACCTGGGACACTTGTGTTGCCCAATTTTAAAATCCTCGACGGAACAACATAAGGCTGTATTTTTTTTCAATCTAGTGGTATCAATCTGGATTTTGTCTAGTCTTGTTCGAAGAATATTTTTTGTAGCGTTGTTAATGACAATAATAATTTTATAACCGTGAATTTCTAGAACACATTTCTGGGTACTTTATTTTAGTACATTCTCGATGGACAAATCGATTTTCGACTGCACACATGGAGAGTGGACGTAATGACATATATAACTCACTACACACACGTATATTATACTAATTATATTATACGTACCCCGAGACTAGATTGGTCATATTGTTATTGCTAATATAATTATCTATTGCAAGCCGCCGAAAACGAAACTAGTTTAGTCGCGATACGTGCTCGAACAGCGTGAATTTCTTTAATTGTACGTTTTAAGTGTCTAAAAAGTAGCCACGGGGCGAGCTCCCCGTCGTGTTTTAATAGGATTTTTCCGGACCACCCACAACCCTCTTGCGGGTTTTAGTGCGGATATTACGGGCCGAATCTATTACACGGCCGGAATAAATTAAATTTTTTGTACGCAGCTTTTTCTTCTTTTTTTTTTTTGTCAACACTTCAATACGCGTATCACGAGACGTCGATAAATATACCTATGCATACAATTTTCCCCGTGGACTCACCTGTGTTCGTGTAGGGCAAAGAATTTTTTGCTCATAAATCATAACTTTTATGCATAATGCAAATATAGGTTATTCGACACGATCGACGACAAGGATTACCTATATTCGCTAAATTGTGAACTTGTACGTGCAGTGTATGGTGAGCTCACACCTGCATGACGTGTTATCTATATCCGTCTTTCGAGCGTAAGACAATATAGCAAAGTTACGTTCAGCAGATCAAATTTTGTGTGTTTTAGGTTTGCAGGTTTGATATAAAGAAAATTGCAAGTTCAAAGGTAAGAAACATTGTCTATGTTTGTGCGTTGGATTTATAGCGATATATCTATTTAAATTTTTAAGCGAAATATGACTCGTTATGAGTATAGATATGTAAAATATTGCAATTATTTAAAAATGCTCATAACTCACTTGAAAATTAAAATATCGTTTAAAATCCAACGTACAGATACGGATAGTATTCTTACATTTAAGTTTGATGGTGAGTCAAGACAAGTGGTTAACTAATATTAAAACTAACAACACAAAATTGGTTCTGTTAGACGAAAATTCATTATGTGGATCGACGGAGACTGTAATCATGCCGGCATGAAAATATATGTATTCTATCAAAAGGAAACCAGTCGTAATGTCTGAGAAGCCATAGAAAATCTACGGGTTAATAACAAGTTCGGATTAGAAATTTTTTAGCCAAGTAAAATGGTTAATCATTGCTTTTAAATTTAACAAAGTTTCTAAAGGTTACTCAATTCTGCGTTTTATCATAATATAGCAGAACCTCAATAAATAAATCGAGGGACGAAAAAAGATCGAGTAAATTGTACGTGCAGGTTCATGGGTCCGAGACATTACTCCGAGTTATTAAAAATTCTACTTAAAGTCGTACGAGTAATCAAGGTTTCACTGTTTTTACCTTTAGTTTCCTCGGTGTAAAAATAGTTGTAATTTATTTTGTGGTGTAATGTTTTAATGTTTATAAGTAGCAATAATGATTGTTTTGCTCTTGTAGGCTGAGGTAAAATATTAAGTAATATCGTACATGCTTGTACTGGCACTGCAGAGACAATATTTATGGTACATTTTTCTTTCGTAAATCGTAGGTGCTTATACATATTATATTATTATCATTATTAACCTCGGATTTTTTTTCACAGCAACGGGCAATGCCTCGAGACGGAGCAAAAGGCAAACATCAATTTAAACGGCGGTTCAGCCTACAGCCGTCATCGTTTTTCCGCGATGATTCACTGTCGTCAAGTCACTCGATCGCTAGGTAAGAACTCCTTTTTGTAGGTGTATAATTTATACTTACAGAGAATACCTTATCGCATCGTCTCTGTGAGTGTTTTGCATCATATAAGCACAATAAATTAATAATAGCAGTTAGTGTCTAAATTGTTTATTCGCGTTAAAATCTGACGGAATACATAATCCAAGTTTTGACATAATACCTACGTAATATCATCATTGAGTATAATAATATTATAATTATATTAAAATAAACTCTATTACATTTATAAAACGAATCGTATACTGCAGAATAATCGTTATAATGATCGTTATAAGAGTATATTATTATTTTGCGTGGTAACAATAGTGTTTTGTGGGATCGAAGAAAATAAACTGTCAAACAAAATCGTCCGGTTGAAGTGGTCGGCCTAGTAGACGTAAGGGTACGATGCTTGATGGTGGTTGTAGTATTGGTTGTTGTATGGATAGTGAGAGTACGGATATCCACCATTGTAACCATAGTTGTATCCGTTGTTGTAACCGGTGTAACCGTTGTAACCGTTGTAACCGTTGTAACCGTTGTAGCCGTTGTAACCGTTGTAGCCGTAGTTGTACCCGTCGTGTCCGGTTGAATACGGCTTGCTGTACAATGCTGTGGCCACCGTCGCCTTGTCGTACTTTCCAGCGTGGTACTTGCCGTCGTCGTACTTAGCCGCGTGATGGTGGTACTTGCCATCATCGTACTTAGCCGCGTGATGGTGGTACTTGCCATCATCGTACTTTCCCTGGTGCGATCCGTACGGGTAACCGTAAGCTTGGCCGTAAGCTTGGCCGTAACCTTGACCGTAAGGGCTGCCGTATAGGGTGTTATAAGGGCTGCCGTACAAACTGCCATAAGGACTGCCATAGTATCCGTACGCGGCCGCAACTAAATATGAAATGAAACATTAGTATAGTTCGAATGTTTCTGAGACCATGCAATAATTTCTGTGCAGAATATGTACTTAAAAAAATGTAAAGAAAACTTAGCACGATGTACAGGGCATGTAACAGATAGAACTGACTAATGCAATAACTTTTGTTATAATCAATTTTTCGAATTTTTTTTTATATACATAATTCATAGTCACTTGCTCTACATAATGTTTAATATAAAAAAAAATATTTTTATTTTTTAATATTGAATATAAAAATTTAAAATTCGACTAAATTATTTTTGGATAAGTTCAAAATAGCCAATTTCGGAATCTGAGTATAAGAACAATTTTGATGGTAAAAACATATTTTATCAAAGTCGAGTAGTTTATTTTTTAGAGTTTTTGAAAATATCAATAATTTTTTGATTAAATTCATTTGGAAATAAATGTTTTCAAAATATAATTTTAGGAAATTTGCTGATATGGGTATATTTCTTAAATTATTTACTCCTCATATAATGTTAAAAAATGTTGTCCTAATTAAGGTAGCATCACTTTTTTTTTTTTTGGTCAGGTCTATCTGTTACACCTGTATGTGATACGAAGAAATATTTAGCTATATTTAATAGTGTCTTGCGTATATATACTTTAATAATATGCGAGTTTAAAATTTCATACATTTTCGAGATTTTCATAGGTGGTTTTCATCACTACAATTTAATATAACAAGTTTTGTTTTTTATTGTTTATGGATTCTATAAACTTGTCAGGTGCCACCTCTCGGAGAATTACAATTACTCTTAATGCAAATGCCATTGTAAAATTTGTCATCAGCCTTACTCATTCTACCATGTTTGTGTGGATTGTAAAATTTAAATATATTGTTTTGAATAAAAAATCTTTTATTCTATAATAATGTCAAATACGTTGGGAGTTTTTTCTAGAAAAATCATTATTGTTTATACTAAGCACGATATTTGTGCTGGAATCATACTACGATATCATTACACTAGGTACAGACTTTCGACTGAACGACGCTGATTGGTACATGGTATCGTTCGTAATGCAGAGATATAGGTTTGATTGTGAATCACGTCAAATGCACATAATATACGATGTGTGCAACATGCACGCTACACTTACGAGTTTAATTTAATTTAATTTTAATTTTACTAAAATTCCCCGCGCGCCAGTCGTATTTTATCCCATCACTTTCGAAACGCGCTAGACCGAATTTTCCCATCGACTTTCGCTAAAAATTTGGCGGCAACCATTCGAACTACTTATTTTGCCTGGAGCGGATTAGTAAACCCCACGCCCTCGTGATGGCCATACCGCCGTGATTTATTACCGTCTGATTTAGGGTGAGCAGGTTTTAGGGGCTGCTGGTCGGCGACGGTGGACTGATACTATAACGTATTATTATGATCAACGGACGCTGCGCATACCGACTAGTCGTTAGGAAAATTGCTCACCGACAATAAAAACGCTGATTTCAGGCAATTTGACGTAGGTGTAAAATAAATTAGGTATGAAATAATTATAGGTGCCTATCTGGAAATTTCAAAATTCCATAAATTCCTGAAACCAATTGTGTATTTTGAAATCAAAATCGATAAACATTGCATAAACATGGGGCTGGTAGCGTGTGTAGACATAACCGAATCAAATAATGTTTCAGGTGATTCTTTTATTATTTCCAAAAGTATTAATGATTTTGATAAAACATTCTTTAGATGGGTTCAGTTGTTCAAAATCAAGTAGCGACATTAAAAAAAAAATAAAAATATTTTTAAATATATTTGTATCCTTATAATTTTTAAGTTTTTTACTTTTTTTAATAACAACATTTAGTTTTAAATTTTAATTCCATATTCCAAAGCAAAATATTTTAATAAGTTTTTTGTTACATACAAATCGAATTTAGGACGAGTATAGTTTATGAGTTATAAACATTTAAAGTTTATATGAGTGGAGTCCTTAAATTATAAGGATAAAAATTTTAAAAAAACGCGGTTTTGTAACGATTTGAAACAGTTGAAACCACGTGAAAAATTCATTTTCAAAAACATTAATATTTTTTGAAATAATGAGTGTCTAAAGTTAAATGAATCACTAGCGGTATAGAATCGGTGAATTTTTAGTAAAAGTTTTTCGCTAAGGCTAAAATTGAAAACGTACCTCGCACGTATAATGCACCTGCACGATAAATAATATTTCGTGTGATAAACGTCATGCACGGACTTGAAAAAAAGAAATCACCCCCGTTTTGATTTTACTTCCTCATATACTAGTCGGGGGAATTTGCAAATCATAATATCGTTATTCTTTTTCCGACGACGTGAAAACACCGAGCACGTTAAAATCTAGCGACTATAATAACATGTAAATTAATTATTATATGGCATCCGGGATTTTCATATCAGTCGCGTAGTCTAAACGTCAGTTCGGTTTTAAAATATTATCTCCAACCGAATATAATATTGAAAATGAAAAGCGAATGAATAAAATAAAATGCACTGTAGTATAATAATCGTTGTTTTTAGGCGAAACGATGACGATAGAATATAATAAACGAATATTTGAACAGGTAGGAGGTACACACTGTCACGTGCTTGGTCGTAGCGATACAATAATGCAACAAGACGTAAGGATTTGTACATTTTTTATATATTTTAATTTTGTAATATTTAGAACATTTCGTTCAATCCCGAATCCCTCGCACGTAATAAAGAGGTGTGTAGTTTTATAAAATTACACAGCGGACGCCAAAATTCTAAACCTGGCCATGACGTTATCGTTGCAATTTTACCTTCTGATCGAGTGCCGAGCGGAAACGTCGCACCAGACTCGCGGGGATTTCGAACAATAATAATATGTGGGCAGGCAGTGTCGAGATGGAAAACTCGTTTTTGGTTTCGTTAATTAGTTTCCTTCGTTTCCGTCTTGCACACGTATACGTATTTTTCGTTACGACCCGTCTTTCCGGAGCGACGAAGCGACTTGATGATAATATAATATCTCTATGCTATTCGAGAGCAATTCATTTCCTTAAGACCGTCGCAAACAAGGCGCCACGCCATCCCCCTCAACTCCTCACGGCATTTACATATTTTTTCACTTTGCGATGTGCCCCGGGCGAGTAAATTAATTTATATAATATATCGCTTGATGAGCCACCCCGTGCGTTTTTTAGAAAGGCCGATTTTTTTTTTATCATAATACTGTTATTATCATCACTTAAACCAGCCGTGTATTTAGATGTATTAAATCGTCTGCAGTCTACACGTTTCGTGCTATAACAATGTTCCACCACCATATACTTTCCATGTATAGTTAAAAGTTTTTTTTTTTTTAGAGAGCGCTAAAGATTTTAATGTTTCTTTAAAGAAAGAAAAAATGATCACGTTTTTTTTATTTAAAACGAAACACAATACGCATATATTATATTATATTATTGTACCTCGTCGTACAATTTATATTATGTTTTACAAGAGAAGACAATTTTTATTCTCTACCATAGATTTTTCCTTTTTATTTTTTAAACACATAATAATATATAAAACGTTTCGTGCGATTATGACTAAAATAAAAAATATAATATCATCACGAACACCAATCGCATAAATCGAAAACGCGAATGACTTGTGCTTGAGACTACTGCAAGTTTTAATTTGCTCTTGGAGGATTTCAAATTTTTCTTTTATATTTCCAATGCGAACAAAATATGTGAGCTAAAAGACTACGTCATCATAAGCCTATTTAATTCATCAGATCAAAAAAATTTTCGCTCAAGGTTTGATTTAGGTTTGATATTATATTACAGTCATTATTTTATTTAAACCTAATGACTTTATTATTCATATATATTTTATTATGACAAATCTTCTATAAAACATATTTAGTAGTTTTCATTAATGGTATTTTTTTTTCATATATACCAAAACTGGGTTTTCAATTATTTTTTTATAGAAGTATTACAGCTATTATTAGTTCTGAAAATAAATAACGAGACAGAGTAGTAGAGTACTATGATATAAGGCACAAATTCATTACAATTTTTAACCGGAAAACTACGACCACGGTGTGCAAATGAATCGTGAGCGATGAAAATAAATAACATATTTCAACAAACCGACTAGAAATGAGCAAACATAAAACGCGGGTATTATGCACTATAAATATATGATATTATGTAGACCGACCGGCCGCACATTGACTTTATTAATTTTGCTATCCGATAGCCTATAAAATTGCTTTGCTCATAATTATTATATTCTCCATCATAGCGTTCATCTGTTTTCACAGTCCAACGAATTATAAACCACCGTTATTTGACTTTCAAACGTTGGCAAATTATTCGAATCGTGTATTTAATTGCGTAAAGTTTGAGACTTTAATCTGATTTGAAATGTAGGTAGCAGTTGTCTGTGATTTACTCCACAAACGCGGGACCGTGGTTGAACTTAATAATCGAGCGCATAAAATAATTATTATAATTTACACATACCTACAGGGATAGTTTTAATAAGTAAATAAGTTATATATAATAATAATAGTTAGAAATTATTTAGAATGTTGTTTAATACTCATAAATTTTTCATTTATTTATTTTTCTTTTGGTCTCACACACTTTTCCGTTAATTTTGATTCCCCATTGGTTTTGGAAAATAATTTCAAAATTTGAGAAAAATAGCAAATAAATGCATGATTTTTTATGAGATAAATTCTTTTTTACGATATAAATAATTAGTAAGTGACTTTAATACAGTTACAATCTGCATTGTGTAGACTCAAATAATAAAAACTGTAATATGTTTAGATTAAGTGACAATCTGATGATGTGGAACAACCATACTCTACCCATTTTAGTTTTCCATACTTATCCCACCCGTTGAGCAATTTTTTTTTTGCTGGTGAAATTTTTTCGTAAGAATTCTGAAACTCATTACCTATAGGAATCCTAGGAATTTATAGGAATGGCGAATGATGGCGAATAATTGTACCTACTTAAAAAATGGTGAACATTTAAATGTATTGGACTGAGGGTAGGACTTGGACTGGGTTGGTGATATGGAGTAAAATGTACTCTCTATTTACACGATAGCTTTTAAATACTACTTACTTCATTAATGTTGTGAAAAGAAAAGAAAATAACATTAATACAAACATCTTTATAACGTATTTTTAAAGTACATTTTTTTTAAAGCGGTTTTTACTACATTTTTTTTTTTATATTTTTAAGGTTTGTTTCCGAGCGTTTTTTTTTTAAAGAATATTTGTTTAGGTCATAAACATAATCCTAACCATACGGCTATAACAGTATAACACTAAATATATATGCAAACGTACCTGAAGCAGGTGGTGGGATTACTGCAGCTTTCTTCACCCTCTCGTTTTCGGCGGCCGTTTTCGGTGCATCCTTTTCGGCAAAGACTGACACAATGAGAAGTGCGAAACAAAACTTTGAAAAAAAAAACGAAACGACGAGATTATTCACGAGTCTGATAGAAGATATATTATTGCAGCGACCAGAAAAACAGCGTGATGTTCATTTCGAGAATATTATGAATATTATTATTGTCGTTATGAAAAAATAAAAAATACCGAGAACCTGCTGCCATCGCCTCGCGGCGCAACAATAGGATTTTTCCGGTGCATTTTTTCATTCACTTACCGTCAACTTGCAAGATGCCATTTTTTTACGAGGTAGCTGCCGATGAGTTGTCGATGATAGTATAGTATCAAGTCGTCCGTTTATCTCGTCAGTTGGACGCGAAAAAAAGACGGGCGTAGCTAATAATATACACTGCTAATAATGAATATAATTTTTATAGCTTGTACCACTTGGACCGAGGGATGCGAAACGAATGATTTGACACCGGCAAACGGTAGGTCCTTATATATCACTGGCGTTCATCTTTCCCTAATGACATTCGTTTTTTTACGTTTGTTACGCGAAAACCCGGCGGCAATGCAGTACGCCATTATTATTACTATATATATTATGGTCTTATAATCGTTATCGCCGATATCGCTTATCACGGCGCGGAAATTCGGGATTGCGGCGACGCGGCCGTCGTATCCTTGGACTTAACGATAACAATTATTTTAATTGCCCCTTTTCGTTTGTGTGTTTTTTTTTGTTTTCGCTAATTTTTTTCAACTGCGGTTAAGGTCGCCGACTGCAGATTATCGTTATTATCGTTATTGTCATAAGCGCTTTATGTACCTACATTACTATACGATTGAGCTGCACACGCAGAGGACTGTGCACGCCGAAATCTGTCGGAAATCAAACATAATAGAACTCAGGTACTTAAACCGCTATAATGTATAATTATAATATTAAATCGTATCGGCGGATCGTATTCCCGAATTACGCACACTTAAAACAGATTGCGTGTTGTAGTTATTACTTCGGAATGACGTGACGTTTATTATACGACATTATTCAGGTGGGTGTGTAATAATAATAATAATAAATTACACACATCATAATTCGTATATTATTACACGGTCGTCGACGGCGCAGCATCGTTTACGTGTTAGTCAACCGTTTTGCAGGTACGAATAGCGAAGCACACGACGCCATTCGTGAGCCATAGTATTTATTAATATTTAAATATTAAGCACTCAAGGGAACCATTATACTATTACTGAGATTTTTAACGTTAAATAGTTCATGTACGATTCAATGATTTCTGCAATCGACTAAAATATAGGAATATCTTTTCTGATAGTTCATTAAAGATGAGATTTTGTATGAAATAAACAAAATCACATTTTTAATTGAACGCGTTAAATTTCGTATGTCTTTCTGGGTAAACGGAAAACTGGTAAGGTCTTTATAAGCGTGGAATACTGGTACGGTCCGCAATAGTTAAGGTTTCCTAAACGTTTATGAGAAAGAAAAGGAATAAAATATCAACGATTATTTTTAATTTTATTTCACCGACGATCGATGGGAAACTACGATGTAATTATATGATTGTATGTGTACAGAGGATACAGCTGTAGCAGTTGGAAATTTTTCTTCGTTAAAACAAAATATTCGAAATTACCACCATACCTAGAAAACCAATAAATTCTGTTTTCAATACCCCTGAAGAGTGGAAAACTACAATGGGGGCTGATCCTCGACCATTCACATGATATTTTAACAGTGAACAACCTGATTCAAGAATTTTGTTATTTGCTTCTGACTTTGCCATAAATATTCTAACAAAATCTGAATCATGGTTTATGGATGGTACATTCAAGTGTTCATCTAATATGTTTCAATACATTTACGTGATACTAGGAGAGGATAATAAGTATCTACTATCTACTTTTGTGTACACATATTTATCAAATGAGTCAAAAAATCATATACAACTGTCTTACAAAAAGTTATCATTAAATGCATTCAAGTTTCTCGACATTCAAAATAAAAATATGTAATTATGGATTTCAAAATCGGTGCTATGAGTGCAACAAATGACGTGTTTGGTGAAAAAAAAATACTTTGCAAGACAAATTACACAACGAATGTGAGAGCTTCAAAAATAAAGAAATTCAAATAGGACAATTTTAAAATAATATAGCAGAGTTTACGAAATAATAATTATTAATCATAAATTATATTAATTGTACCTATAATTTATATTTATTTTACCTGTCCGCTACTTTTTATGTACTTATTTGTATTTTTTGTTTATTTTGATTGCTAACATTATTTTTGTGTTTTAAGTATTATTCATATTTAACTTGTTGACAATTTTGATTTATCAAAATTATATTATAAACATTGTAAATATTTTAGAATCTCCGACGATTAAATTTTGAATAGTACCAGATTTCCTCGTTTTTTATTTCTTTTGTTATAAATTGTATAAACCGTACCAATATTCTGAGCATCGTCCTTTCGGTCTTGAACATGATCATATTATATATAAAACTGAGATTGCAGTGCACCACAGTACCTACAGTGTTCAGTGGAATTCGCTTGTCACGATCTTCGATGGACCTAGAGAATCCGGTCGTTATATCCGAACGACGAAAATGCACTGCACGCGAGATATAAAACCAACCTGCGAGCACATGGCTGGGAATCGTTTTATCTGGAATATAGTTGTATGCGAGGCGTCGTAACAAGTGGGTTCTACTGTATTATAAATAAATATATTTTATGTATAGAACCTGTACAAAGATACATATCATTATCGTAGTAATGTAGTATATAGGCAACAATAAACGTATTACTTCGTATGTGATTGAGCTTTGTATGGCTGAGAGCACTATTAGGTAGGTATATTATATTATTTTTACTTTATGGCAAACTATTATACTACAATACATTATTGATTATTACACGTCTCATATACGAAGTGTAACAGATAGACCTGACAAAAAAAAAAACATCACCTTAACATAGGACAACACTTTTTAACATTACCTTTATGAGTAGTAAACCTAGATACATTTTTTCACCATCAAAATTGTTCTTATAATCAGATTCACAAATTGGCTATTTTGAACTTATCCAAAAATGAATTTAGTCAAATTTTAAATCGTCTATATTCAGTATAAAAAAAAATAAATTGTTTTTTATATTATACATGTAGCTCAATAAGTGCTATAAATGATAATGAAAAAAAATATTGATTATAACAAGTTTTTCATCAGTTCTTCTGTTACACCCCATGTATTATATCGATTATTACGACCGATCTTATTAGATGTACCTATCCCGAGTTGTATCTGTAGCAAGTTTTTGTAGGAAACACCGACAAATAGTCGAAATTTATTTTGTTTTTGCCACAGATAAAATATAATCATTGATGTTCTATTGTAAACAATTATGTACTTATGATACTGTGTTATCAACTTCCGAACCAAAACTAAACAACGAAAATAGATTTTTGATAAAAACGCGAGTACTGGGTTTTCTCTAGAAATGTGTTCAAAACAATTTTTTTTAAACTGTCATCTGTGTCCGATTTCTATACGCTTAAAGTAGCAATGTGAAACTTTTGGAGTCTTCCTACCATAGGAAGACACTCTGGTGAGTAATGGATAACTCTAAAGTTGGTAAGAGAAAAATAATTCATGTTGGCACATTTATGTGTATATATTTTATCACCCCTCTCCCTCTGGTACAATAAACATTTTAATAATTTCGATTTAATTTGGATTAATTCACAATAGGTACATAACAAAATGTTTTGAGAAAGTTGTAATGGACTTTTTCATTTACTCGTGTTCGATATATTTATATATTGTGTGCATTGACTTTTGATATCTTTCCGTAGTCCATACAATTGGTTATTTATAAGTTTTTAATTTTTTGTGAACATTTTTTTTTACGGATAGCTTAATATTATATTTAAGAATATCAGCTGATTGAGCAAGTCAAAAGAATCATACTGCACCACGATGTTTTATCGGACGTACTTCTCATAGTATTATTATTATTATACAGTTTCTCGCGTTATTAATTTTAAAAAAAATATTGGCTCTAGTGAACTGGGTGATGCATTTAATGAGTTATACACACATTATTTCTATGTTAGCAATATTTATATCGCTATATTATTACAAAAAAGATTATGATAACCCATATTTATTAAGTTAAAATTCGGAATTGGAATAATATACTCTTCTAAGTATATTGATTTATAAATGGATACCTATAATCAAAATACTTTTGAAGAGTAATTTTAGTATTTTACATAGATAATCAAATCTAAAAAATCTTAGACACTATTATAAAAATAATAATTAGAATAAATATTTTTTTGTTGTAAATATTTACAGTCTAAGATTTTGTGTCCTTCAAAAACTTAACGAATGACGAGCAATCATGCATCAAAAGACCTTGAAATATTCTGTCCAATATGATCAAAAAATTCTTAAAATATGCGAATAAAAAATAGGTTCATGTAACATTAGTGATAGCGTGAGACTTTTTTTTAGTTCAATATTATTTTTTAATTAGGGAGTACCGTATTTCAATATAATAGTTATCCCTCCCCTTCATTTTGATAAAAGTAGTTTCTCATACAATAAAACATACAAATATAAATTGTGGTAGATGATTAAAAATTAATTTCCTTCTAAATACCGCATGAATACTCACCACGAATTAAGATTCAAAAAAAATAATCTTAGCTGGTCATTTCATATACAAATATAAGTGTGCCACGCTCCCTTTGGCCTATAATAGCAACATACTAATAAACGGTATGTAATCGCAACACATAGCAAGTAACAATAATAACAAGTAAGTACTTACTTGTCATTTATTGCAAGCGATATATTAGATCGCTCCGAGTACCTATGCAAATAAAAATATAACACTGTCGACGTCACAAGTTTCGCTAAACAAAAGACGCGTACGTGGTACGTAAAAATATGTGTAGCAACAATGTGTTCCCTTGAAACTGTATAATACATATTGTATTCGAGTAAAACAAGTTTAGGCGTTACCTGGGTATAACTTATGTGGTATCAATTATTGTTGCATAAACGCATTATATAATATCCGTCGTCAAACTCGATGTAGAATTCCGAATTTTATGATGATGTTAAGGCCGCTAAGGAATATTATTCGCAAGTCAAAACACAGACTGTGATAGGTATTCGTTGTTATATTATTTTATCATACACCGTGTGGAGTTAACAAAACTCCATATAAGAATAATAACAAATCATATCTTTGGTCGAAGTTTTGCTGAGCAAAAAATAAGTTTTCATGACGGTGGCTGGTTCGGTTCACTGTGTTCATGTATATGTATATATCATGTGATCGTTAAAAACATAATAATCATATTATGTATGCACACAGGGTGATGCGAGCATGCGGTCGCTCCCATTTTGTCTATTAATAACGAATTTATTACATTTCTGATTTTTGGAACTTTTATGTATGGGTACATAATATACTTAAGCATCAAACACTATATATTTTAATCAAATACCTACTTAGGTTTGCTTATGACATTCAAGGAATTTTCCGCGTCGATGAAAAAAACTTATTTTTTAATTTTCGAAACAGCCTTTCTACAATATTTTTAAGCAGATTTTCTTTTATGTCGATGTAAGTACATTATGTTAAATTAAATTCCAACGAGTGTAGTTTATCGAATTTCTAAACATTAAAGGCCATAATATGGGTAGGTACAGTAATAAAAGTCCATGATATTAGGTTTAAATAAAACAATGTTTTTAAAATTACAGTAATTAATATGGTTATCATTTTATGTTTTTAAAAAATATCAAAGTTCAATAGAACAACTATGCTGAAATGAATATTACATCAATTTTTTATTTGGTGTAAAACCATTGTTAATGGTTGTTATCCTTTGTAGGTACCTGGTACCTACATGAAGTTTGATAACACAGAAACTGCTTGTTTGAATTTTGATGTATTTAGCACCAACGTTTTCAAAAAATCTTGTGACTATTTAATAATTTACAGTAAAAATGGATGGTTCTTAATTCTTATTTGAAAAATAAGAAGTTCGGATCGCCACAGGAATACAGCAACCTTCTAGAATAGTATAAAACACCCAAGTACCTATTCAAGATTATGATCTTTAAGTATACTTGAAAATTCCGAAAATCATAATATGAATAAAAGCGCATTATTAAAGGATAAAAGGGGGTAGGAAATACTAAGTCTTGTGTATCGCCCTGCAGTACAATACATATTACTATTCATACTTTGTTTCAAACATGATAACATTATACAAATCGGTTAAGTTAGAATTTAAAAGTTCTTTTTTCTCCGTTCCTAATCATATTTTGAAATATAATCAATGCCTGGGAAACATAAATTTCTATATTCACTACGCTGGAACTCTTGAAATCCAGTCAAAAACAATGGCACCACTGCAAAGCGATGAGGGGATGTAAATCAAAACAGAAAATCTGACATGCACACACACACATAATCCGCCCACAATAAATATAATATCTGGTGCCTCGTAAATAGAAGTATAAGTGACTGGATCACAAATTATAATAGCTCGGGACTGTAGTAGTAGTTTACAATATTAATAATATAATATGATACGAACTACAATCTATAGTAGTCGCGGGTATTGTGATGATAGTATTCTACTAATTCTCCGACGACCTGCAAACTATACCTATAAATATTTTTTTTTATCGTTAAATTTGCTTTAATCATGTCTGTATATTACATAATGTTGTTAAAGTAATTAATAAATATATTGTCTAAAGGCATATAACTCTGTCCTAATAATTATTTTCGTGTACAAACTACTATGACCGCGAGTCAACGCGATGAAACATCGTTTTGTAAACTTTAAACGGTTTAACAAAAACAATGTGGCGTTGTGTACGGTAATATTAATATCTCCATTATAATATAGCATTGTGTAAAAAAAAATAATTAAAAACTAATTTTACGAACCTACTCTATATAGAAGCGAGGCGTATTATACATGCATCTATTATAAATTAAAACGAAAAAAAGATATCGATTTAACGCCTTGATATACAAACTTGATTGATTGATTTGTGCTCCATCAATTTTTACGATCTATTCGTAAATAGTTATTAGTTTGTATATATTTTATAATTTATTTAAGACCAGACAACTACAGTAAGTTTACATATATGTACATGAATAATATTATAATGGTGGTTAATAGTTATACCTTTTTAAAAGTGTATACACAGCCACACAGGCACATAAAACGCCAACATTTCATGATTTTAATTTAAAGTTGATAAAGAAAAAACAAAGATTTTAAACTTTGAAAACATTAGAAATTTTAACTACAAAGCATCTATGTATATATTGACATAAATATGATGGTATTTTAAAACTTGTTCTTTAGACAACATTTTTAATTAAAAATAAAATTGAATTCACTAAGATAAAAAAATAAAATTACCTAACCAATTTTATTGAAGATAATGTAAATTTAATGCACGTGACGCGGGACGTATATTAGCAACAGAAACTATTAAGACTTAATTATGTTTATTTTTTTCCAGCATAATATAAAATAATAATAATAATCAAGCTGAGCCAATACATACAGGTGCACTACGCCATGATTACGGAAAATTGTTATATTGGTAATTGTTTTTAACTTAAGAAAGCATAGTATAACAATACTATGTACGCAGTAATACGATTTAATTAAATTTGCACATGTTTCGATCTTCTCATATTATGACGATTTACCTATAATAATAATAATATGATTATTTTTATTTTAACGACAAACATAATTGACTGACACTGAAGCATTGTAACGGTAACTGCTCGGAGCGAAATTTATAAAAAAAAAAACAGGCAATTATTCCTCTTGGATAGCTGTGTTGGATAATTTTGTATTAATGAAATTTTGTTTTTTTTTTAAGAAATAAGAAAACATTTTTTTTTCTTAATAGATTTAAAACACGTACATTATTTCCAACGCTACTTATATCTTTATATCTCGCGGTGTACGTTTAGGTATAATATCAACACAGCATGATCTCTTGATGTACAACAATTATTATTGTGTTGCACATATTATAGCCAATACCTATAGCAATATAGCCAAACAATTGTAATGTTTTTCGACGCCACTGCTGTGGTCTGCAGGTTATATTATATAGCACAGCTACGACTGTGATGTAGGTATACCGAGGAAAACTATGAAATAAATAAAATTGACTCGTAGTGGGTTTGTTGAAGAAAGATCACATATTTATTGTGAAAAAAGTTTTATACAATTATCTTATAACTACGTTTGTTTCCGGAAGATTTGAAATGCGTTGGTCGGGAGCCGTGTTCAGTAGTGGTAAACCGGGTAGGCGGACTTGTAGGTTGGGTAGTAAGCCGCACTGCTTGGCCAGTACTTGCCGTAAGAATAACTCGGGTAAGCGGAGTAAGCACTTGGGTAAGCAGCATAACCACTTGAGTATGAGGCCGGGTACGAGTACGAGTACGGGTAAGACGAGTACGGGTAAGCTGAGTAAGCGTATGGGTAGGCTGAAGAAGAGTAGGCCAAAGCTGTTGTAAAATAAAACAGTTTAAATTATTTTTCAAAAATTATCGATGTGATTTCTAGTCGAATTCCGAACAGCAGTCCGACAAACAGAGTTCAAACATTGCGGGACTTGTGTAATCGTGGTATTGCATTATACTTACGAGCAGCGATGTAAGCGTGTTTCTTTACTCTGGCGGCTTCACTTCCAACTTGTTCTTCGGCTTTTGGTGCTTCTTCGGAGACAACGGAGTACACGCTGAGGGCGACCAAGGCGACGAATATCTGTGATGAACAAAATTATTAGATAAAACCGATCGATATATTGTCACGACGATGGTACCTAAAAATCATATTACATTATGCTGCGAGCAGTCTTTAAATTTGGTCGCGTGTCTACGAAGGTTTTTAACTGACCAATTTGAAGTGCACCTACACATAATAATATTTTGCCAGTGAATCGCGGCGCAATTGTCGAGGGTCCGATCTGGCGCGATGAGTTCTTACGAACGGAGAGTTAATGGATTTGGGCAATTAATTCAGAGAGTTTCATTCACACCTAGATTCAAGAAAACTTGGCTCCCAGGACACGTATCGTAGTATCAGACTATATAGGTAGGTAACCGCACCACACTCATCTACTGCCGCTCTGGGTTATACCTACCCGGTGGCACGGACGTTTTATTATATTATAGGAACCGATAGAAAAGTTATTTATTTTTCCATTAATGCGTCGGCATGATATTATATATATATGTATATATAATAATTAGTAGATACCTATATATGTATAATGTATATATATAGACGTCTACTCGACGATCGTAATTGCATATTATTGTCGGACGAACTCAATATTCCACATGCCTCCCTTAGATATAATATGTTATTCTATCCCCTATTAACACGGCTCTATTAATAAACGGTAATTTTGTTAATGCTGTAATTGATTTTTTTTCTTTGATAAACATATTATGTATTATAATGGTTACTTATTATTATTTTATTTTATATTGCACCTACATTAATGTTCATTGTTTATCCGATTTCTTATTTCTATTTAAGTTATCAAGTTATTTTGTGATTTCTATCTTTTAATTATTGCACTCGGACTTTATATTTGGATTTAAATTCACGACCGACAAAAAAATAAATCTAATTATAAACAAGATCAAATCGTTTTTGAAATCGTAAGGTAAACGAGTCGCTATCGAATAAGTATGATATAGGTTACATATATACTGATTTCAATTCATACCTTTTATTGCAGGACACCTACATGAATGTCATCGCCGAGGGATGATAAAATATTTTCCGTAAATATCGAACGATTATCGTTTCAACATTTGAAATAACTATTCCGACGATACCCACCAATACGATCCCCGAACATCCAACGAAAAATACATGGACGTTATATTATATTATAGTATATAAAGTTATCGACCTTGACGCGGAATTTCCGATTGATATAAAATGTAGACACTAGACACCGATCGAAAAATCGTGTGATGACAAACGTGAAGGGTGGAACGAATCGATCGTATTTTATACATTTATACGAAAACGACTTGGACTGTACGGATTTAAAGAAACGATTTTTACGAGGTTTAATGTTGATTTTATTCGAATTTATGAAATAAAAATGTGCCTGACTTACCAGATACTTGAAAGAAGCCATTTCTGCTTGGTAGATTTCTTCTTGAGTTGTCTTTAAGACTGATTTCAAAACTTCAACCTGTAGTTGTCGATGTGAACTCGGGATGTATTGTGATGCCAATTTCGGGCGTAGCGGTCCTTATATATGCGCGAATTTAAAATTTAAATTTAATGCACGGAACGTGGGAGGTTGTATAAGCAACATAAACTACTTTTAAGACTTAAACATACATTTTTATTAGCATAATATATTATAATAATCAAACTGCACAAATATATGCAGGTATTCATCATGATTCCGGAAAATTGTTGCATTGATAATTGTTTTAAATTAAAAAAGCAGTCAAGTATAATATTAATATACAGGGTGATTTTTTTTAAGCAAGCTCGCCCCCATTTTTCCTTTTAATAGTATATTTATTCAAATTCTAATTTTTTAGAATTTTTAAGTATAAGTACATTTTTGTACTTCTTAAGGAGCGTCCTGTGGTTATACAAACTTCTATTTTACAAAAAATAACCCGCCTTTTTTACGGCAAATTATTTAGTGGATGATTTTTTTGAAAATGAAATGGTTTGAAATGGTTTTAGAAAAATATTAACTATATGCAATACAAGATGTAGTATTTATTATAATTGGACAATTTTTATAAATTATTTATACTCATAGATCAATAGTAATTATTAACTTTTTTAAATCACCCAAGCCTCTTTTATCTACTTAACCCATTACAATAGACCTATAATCTTTCGTACATAAAGTTATATAACTCAAAAATAACTGGTTCGAATTTTATTTGGGTACATCAAAATTCTCATAAAAAATCTGCATGATAATTAAAAATGAAAAAGAGGGGGGGGGTACAATTAGAAAAAAAAAATTAATATTGTTACAGGAAACCCTTAAGTAGTACAGAAATATCAGACATTTGAAAATATGGTCCTTGGGTAGGTATATTTAATAATTCTAAAAATGAAAATTTAAATAAATGTTCTAATAAAGGGAATGATTCCAACAATATCTGATGAGGGGATAATCCTTTAGTGGTACAAAAAATCTCAAGGATCCAAAAATAAAGTCTTCAAGTGTATTTAAAAATTCCAAATATCAACATTTGAATAATTGCATAATTTAAGCACAAAAATAGGGCGAGTATGCTAAAAAACTTACCCTGTATTCAGTTAAAAGATTTTATTAAATTTGCACATGTTTTGAACTTCTTATATAATGAAGATGATGATGTTGTATATATTATAATAATATGATTACTTTTATTTTAACGACGAACTACATGGGTAATTGAAAAATATTGTAATGGAAACTGCTCGGAGCTAATTTTTTTTTTAAAAAAACGGGAAATTATTCCTCTTAGATGGCCAAGTTGGCTAATTTTATGTTGTATTAATATGCCATATTAATAATTTATAGAATTCTTATTTTCATTTGTACAAACGGATACGCTTTTATGATCAAAATTAACAAATGTAAAATAAATAAATGCAAAAATGTAGTCTATTCGTGTATACGTATATGAAGATGTACTTAACATTTTTATTTTAAGTACTCTAATATTTTTCACCATGTGTATTAATTGTAAACAATAAATTATTCATACCTGATTTAGTTACCCTTTATTCGCCGTATATCCGTATAATATTTATGTCACTTTCCGGCATTATTGTTTTCGATAGGTAAATTTATAAAACTATTATTAATCTCAAACACGTAAAGAAATTAATATATATTTATTAAATAAATATATTACTTGGAATAAAAACTAATTGAAAAGTCAGTTTTTGTAACTACATTTGATTGCATAGCCTACTGGCTACTGTATTTCTGATTTAAGTTTTTATCTCAATTATACGCATAATAATATAACTCATTGTCATCAACAGTATTTATACGATTTAAAAAAAAAAGAATATTTGTTATTAATTGTTGAAAATCAAAAATATAGCTTTTTCAAAATAAACTATAACAGTTGATTGGTTGCCGATAAGTATTGTAACTGTAATAACTATTATTGAACATTTTTTCTAAAAAAAGGTTTTGATTGGAGGATGCCCGCAGAAGAAACCAATATCCAAATTATACAATGTAATCAAAGTTGTGATTGCAGACTTTTCAATAAAATATTATGTATAATATTATTTTGTATATCTTTTGAATTAAAGTTTTATACTTTTTCATTCAAAATAATAACGTCGGAACACAGAAAGCAATACACTTTGTATGATGAATTTGTGTATTCGATGTAGAATTACTTTTAAAAAAGTTGTAGTATTCATAGTTTCTTGTTATAAGTTATAAATTACTAAATGTCATAACCTAACCAATGTATATTATATTATAATAACCTTCAAATCAATTTTGTTACATATCCAGTATTTTGTTGAACAATATTTCATATTTTCTTATTTTGTGCTTCTAAATGTCAAGCTGTATCCAGATGCTTTAATTTAATTTTTTTTAATCTAATAATCAACATTCAAGTTGTATACTAACCTATAAGTGTTACAACTTTAATGATGATTTATTGTAATAGTTATAATGGTATAAGTAAATATTAAATAACTTATAGTAAATATTAATATCTATACCGATTTGTTCAGTATTATACTAGCTGAAAGAAAGTAAATGTTGACTTTGTGAAATATATAGAAAATCATTTCAAGTTACATTGAAAAAAAAAATGTTGAGCGTTGATGGGTGTACTAATTTTGCTCATAATGGTTGTATTGACGTTAACACTCGACCCTCATATAAAATAATTAAAAAACATTAATATGAAGTGCTTTATACAAGTATTATAATTTTAATATAATACTATAGGATGTATGTTCTTTGTTACGTACTTTGGAAGAATGGGCTCTAAATGGGTACTAATAACAATAATAAAGGACAAGTATTTTTATTTTGTATACAAATAATATTTGTATTTATATTTTAATAACATTTTTCTAAATTATTTAATCGAGACTAAAATTGTCTCTCGAGTAAATGTTCCTATATTTTTTCGACATTAAATAACTCGAAATTATTTTTGTCATTAAAGTAATTATTAATTATTATTCGTGTATAGTGATTAATAACGCGTACATTTTATTGATTGTTTGAAATCATTGAAGCTTGTTTTGTCTTTGCATTGTTTCATGCAGTTTCCATTTCTTATACTTTGACAAACTATAGAGCGTGGCACGCACTTCATTATAGTTAATGATTATAACTTTTTTTTACTATAATCTCCTTCGAAACCAAAGTTTCAACTCAAAATCTATAACATTTTACAATACACGTTTCACTTGGAGCGAGTTAAGACGTCATTTGGGCGTTTCAACTTCAGATGACTTTCTGTGCATGCCTCAAAAGTTTTAGGTTAACTTAATTTGACACTCTAAACAAAGATGGCACGTCATTAACAATACGGTTTAGTGTTCATACTGTTCGTGTAAGGACGATAGTGCTACACGTTTAACTATGGACATTAAACAATATAGTGCAGCGAGCACAAAGAATCGTCGATATTATCTATACATATATAGGTACGACCGATATACATTGTAATTGTTGTTGCGATTATAGTCAAACTAGTTACAACGCGGTCTACTGAAACTGATTTGATTTTTTTTTTTTGGCGAACGAGAAAAGATTTTTTTCACCTAAGAAATTGAAAACATATTGTACATTATTTCCAATACTATTTATTATATCTTGTGGTTTAATCGTAGGTATAGAATATTAGCACTTTATGTCTAACAGTACTATTGTGTTACACATAATATATTTATACTAAACAAACTGTAATATTTATAATTACTATGTACCTACGGACTATTCTGTATATTAAAATTGTATTTTTGTGCACTCAACATTACTATTACAAGCTAATACTTATAAGTTATGTGTAACCACGAATGCGTTTGATTTTGAGTTTTTTTTACTATAATATGCTCATGTCTTATTGGTTTTAAAAAAAACAAACATCAATATTAATTTTCGACGTTACTGCAACGGTCTGTGGACAATAGATACACCGCTGCTACGACTATGATGTGCATATACCAAGGAAAACGATGAAAGATATAAATAACGACTCGTCTGTTTGTTGAAAAAAAAGATCACATATTTATTGTTAAAAAAGTTGTATAAAATTATCTTAAAAACTACGTTTGTTGCCGGAAGATTTGGAAGGCGTTGTCGTGAGAGCGTGTTCAGTAGTGGTAAACCGGGTAGGCGGTCTTGTAGGTTGGGTAGTAAGCCTTAGCTTCGTATTTGCCTGGCCAGTACTTGCCGTCATCGTGAGCGTAAGCGTAGCTCGGGTAAGCGGCGTAAGCACTTGGGTATGCAGCTGGGTATGAGTACGAGTACGGGTAAGCTGAGTACGCGTACGGGTAGACTGGAGAAGAGTAGGCCAAAGCTGCTGTAAGAATAAAAAAAATATGATTATTTTTAAAAACGATCAATTCAAATTCTGAACAGCAGTCCGACAAACAGTGTTCAAACTTGCGGGAATTGTGTTCGTAATTATGTTATTGTATTATACACTTACGGGCAGCGATGTAAGCGTGTTTCTTTACTCTGGTGGCTTCAGCTCCGACTTGTTCTTCGGCTTTTGGGGCTTCTTCGGCGACAACGGAGTACACGCTGAGGGCGACCAAGGCGACGAATATCTGTGATGGAAATATTAGATTAAAACCGATTGATATTGATGTCAATTGAAATATTACAATGTCGGCAGACTTTAAATTTGCGAGAGTCTACAACGGGTTTTAACTAACTCATTTTCAGAGTACCTACATAATAGTATGCCAATAAACCGTGTCGCAATTGTCGACGGTCTGATCTAGCGACGATGAGGTTCTTACGAAAGGAAAATTAATGGATTTGGGCAATTAATTCTGAGAGTTTCATTTTATCCTAGATTTACGGACACTTGGCTCGCCGGACACGTATCGTAATATCATATATGGGTAGGTACCGCACTCATCTACTGCCTGAGCATAGTTACGCTGTGGCACGGACGTTTTATTATATTATACGAATAGTTATATATTTTTCCATTAGATCGTCGGTATAATAATATATATATATATATTATTAGAGGTAACTACACGTTTTCTCGGCGATAGTAATTGTATATTATTGTCGGGCGAACTCTGCCTATATTGAATTATATACCACACGATCAAATCGTTTCCGAGATCGTCAGGTTTGCTATTTTTCTTAAATATTGAACGATTATCGTTTTAGCACATTACTATTGTTCCTGCCCACCGATTTGATCTGTTTAGAAAATCTCACGAAGAATACGCAGACATAGTAAATAAAACTATAATACGTGTATATATTATAGTATAGTATAATATTATCGTCCTTGACAAGGAATTTCCGATGTAGACATGATATGGCCACCGATCGAAGAACCGTGTGACGAGCAAAGAGACGCGCATAACGAATCGGTCGTGTTATACACGTATATACACGACTTGAACTGTTCGGTTTTGAACGGTTCAGGCGCACAACGATTTGCAAAGTCCGCGTGTTTATGAAATTAAAACGTTTTCGACTTACCAGATACTTGAAAGAAGCCATTTTTGTTTTGGTGATTTCTTCTTGGATTGTCTAAGACTGATCTGCAAACTTCGACCTGTGGTTGTCGATGAGTACTCAGAAAGTGGTGTGATGCCAACGTCGGGCGTCGCGGTCCTTATATATGAGCGAGTCCCGATGAACCGTATACCGGCTAATATCCCTACCCTACGGCCGTCGGCGCAAGGGCGTTGCCTGTTGTCCTGCTGCTGTTGGTCCGAAAGGCCAAGATCCGGATCGAGCAGAAGAGCGACAGAAGTGATTATGACCTTGGATTGCGGTGGATGCGGGGGGGATGTGTAGCTGTCAACAACAATAACACAGCGGACGAAACTGTCTTGAAAATATAAAAATATATATTACATATTATTTTATATAAAGTAATATCGAGTATATAGACGCGCAGGTACATCTAAGATCGTGAAGTCCTCCGTTAGGCGTTGCCGGACGTGTTATACGTGAACGTATCGGGACGTGGGCATTATAATAATGTATTATAATATTGACGATACGCAATACGCGGTCCATTGGGCGCAGAATCCAGAATCTAGTCGCACAGCATTATATTATTATTATAATTATTGTCATAATACAGAGTGCGATATAACGTAGTCGTGACATATCATATTATATGCAGTGAACCGTGTGCGCTTAGCAAGTCGTAAGCATCATAGGCGTGAGTAGACTACAATTTCTAGTCGAACATGGAACAATTAGTACCACTATATTATACTTGGATTGTGTCCTTAATTTTTATTATTTTAACGCATCAGCGTACAATTTAATTGTAAATTAATAACTGTGTTATCGATATCGATAAGAAGAAAATTCATAATAATGCGGCTCTAGTGCACATCAAAAATCAAAATATTATACTAAATACAGTAAACACTAAATAATAAGCAGTTAACATACCTACCGTCACACCAATTATTAGATTGTCGAGGGGACAGTTCGCGGTTTTTCATATGAAAGCTACCATAATTGTAAAGGTATTGGGCTGCGAGGTATGCATATCTTAATATAAAATTAAAGCTAAAGCTCATAGATGTGTTACCCTATATTAATTGTTGTCTTACACAGTAATTTTGTTAGATGAATAAAATAATTACAGGAGTAGCGTTGGTACACACAAGTATTTTAATTGTATTACAGTATATGGCGACAAATAAAATCTCCATGATCTCCATGAACATGTAATATCGTCGTATATTATACGTACGTATTGTAATAAAACATAAACGCAAATTTGACCACGCCGTTGAAAAATGTCAGGTCTAGTCCGAGCTCGACCGGCTGTCCCCGTGCGCACGCCTTTGGTCGTATAATATATTATACGTGTAATTGCAGTACTAGCGACGATCTCTGGGCGTTCGTGAATAGTTTGGCAACACGAGATAATGATATATTATTTTCGAGGGACTTATAATCGCCACCCTCTCGAAGAAATTCGGGAAATGTGCGAACGCGCATCGCCCCGTCTCACTTGTTTGACGATCGCGCGTGTTAAGTCCGATTCGGCGAGAGATGAAACGACACTGAAGAATCCTATTATTTAATTCCAATATGTGCGCACATCATGGGTATCTGTTTCGGAGAAGATATATTATTATTATCATGTCGTCGTCGTGCACCACACTGCTCGGGGTTTTCCACGATTTTCCGGAAAACGATTTTTTTCCGGAACGATAAAACGTTCGAAAATTTTCCGCAAGCACTACATAATAATATATACATTAAAAAAATAGGATGAAAATCGATCACAGTGTGATATATTGTCATTGTGCCGTAATCATACAGTTACTGCGTACGTGACCTTAAAATCGGCGCCGCCTATTTATTGTTGTACAGTAGGTACCTATCACACTATATTCACACTAACAAGTGAAATATAATTGTGTACTTGGGCAGTTGACATTATAAGAGACGTGAGTCGTACAGTTAGACATTTTCAAATTGTCTCTAAAATTTTTGAAGTTTAGTTAACTATACATAGTAAGAAATAGATACAATTTACAAGTTATATTACATTAAGCAAAATACATAATACATTTAATGATTTAAAATTTAATTAGTTCTAAATTTAAGAACAAATAGGTAGACAATCTACCTACTACTTATAGATTTTCGGGTATTATTATAATTTGTAATGACAACTTTAAATTTTTATTTTATTTTTATTGCAATTTTCCAAAATTTATTTATTTTTTAAAATTATATTATCTAAAATTAAAAGTAATTAATGTGTAAATTTAAATACCACGATGGTGGTAAAGTCATTTTTATATTAACTAATGAAGTGTTTCTAAAAACAGTAATTTAATTCAATGAATGTAAATAATTAATTAAAATAGTAAAAATATTGTCTAAAGTTCAAATAGTGTTCGTAAGTTATAACTAGGGCTTAGATTTATATTATGTACTAAACACATAAAATATGTTATTGAAATATGCATTCAAGCATCGGTAAAAAGGTAAAATATAAACGTAAAAACCATGTTCTAAGTACAATTTCGATTTTAAATTAATATAAAACAAGTCATAGCAATATATATTTAACCATTTATTATTGCATAGTTATAATTGCTAAAAAGTAATATAGTACGAACTATAAAATAATAATTGAGTTGGTATGGACTTCTAGTTTTTTTTCGCTTCCGTTGAATTGGCATTTTTATTTTTATTTTCTTGAAATTGTACTTAAAGTTTTTCTTATACGTTACAAAATAATTCAATATTCCATAAAATAACCATCATATATGATTTTAAAATTGTAAAAATATATTCTCTAAAAACTATAAAATGTTGAAATATGCATAAATATTTTTTCAAAATCAATGGTATTTTTACCACACTTTCATAGAACATTTGTGCTGACATAGATGCTTACAGTAAAATTGACCAGTAAAAAAATGCGAATGCAAACAAATCCAAGTCTCAGTTATAACTCACAAGTGTTCCTGCTATTTTATTGATTGGCATTTCTGCGGTCAAAAGATAGATTTTAGAAATAAACAATAAATAATAATTTAAATATAAATAATGTATAATAATTTTTGGAGACTTAAATAATTTTACAACGGATTTCAATTAAATGTGGATATGGTACTTAACCACATTCGGATGCTTGGTTCTAAGTTTTCCAACTGTATACCTTTTAATGATAATTAGAGTCCAATAAAGTTGTGTTTTTCTGTGATTTATGGAAAATATAAAAATCTAACAACGACATAATAATTATTTTGAAATTGTTCTCTAAATCGTCAAAATAAAACAAAAAATACCTTAAGACTTAAAAAAAAACGACCTATAGTCACTCACATGACCTTAAAACGAAAAGGAACTCAAACAATGCAAAATACAAATCAGTTGTAGATTAAGTAGTTTCGCATGTTATTGAACACTAAGTCAGGAAATCGTCGTCAGTAATGTTCCAAAAAAAAAAAGATGCAAAAGCCATCAACATCCGGGACTTAATAATCATTCGATCGCGTTTAAAAAAATCGTAAGTCGACGTAATTTATAATTTTCGTTTATTTGAGCGTATTTTCAATATTATAAATCATCACGCATACAAACAATATTTTTTCGGGTTCGCTGTTTGCGCGAGTCCTTTGTTCACTTGAAATTTAAAATTTTTTTTTAAACTCGAGCCTGAGTTTTGGCCGCTGCAGTGGTTACGTCAAATCTACGCGGTTTGGGCGAAGAGAACAACAACGATTCGCGTTCAGGTTCATGGAACTTATGACTTGCTACAGTAGCTCCACACTGGCAGACGGTCACGGTCACTGACGTTAGGTCGTCTCGTCATCGTGCGTACGATTTATCATGAAAAATACACAAGTATTATGTGTGGTGTATGTGTGTGTATTGATATGCATGCAAATATATATATTCATACGAATACGCGAGAACGTCTCATTTTTTTTCCTTTAAAAGTATAATAATATCATATTGTTTTCGAGGTACGAATATTGTTTTTCGCAACATGCGATCGTTGTGCGAGATGAGCGAAACTTGACACTGGTTTTTTAATTTTTTTTATTATTTATTAATTTTTGGCTTGTACCACAGTAAAAAAAAAAAATAAATACCATAATCGTACCTATTGGCTGTATTTTACGATCCGAAGTCTTCTGCTTTATAACAATCTTACCCATCCCTTTTATTTTAGATTAAAATTCGCACATAATATGCATGTCAGAATTTTCAAAAATAAATGTGCTTGTAAAGCAGTATAGGTTAGGGTAAATGAGTGCAACACACGATCGTCTTGGAATGAGAAACTTGACACTGGTTTTTTATTCATCTATATTATTATTATTTTTTGGTTTCAAGACTGTGCCACTTAGAAATACCATAATCGTACGATTTGTGCCAATTGTGCTTATTTTTTACGAGTCATACTTTATATTAACCAAAGCTAACCTACAATTCCTAATCCGATCACATCGTCGTTTTATTTTAGATTAAATTTGGCACATATACGTGCTATAATTTTCACAAACATGTATGCTTGAGAAGCAGTGTATGATGGCGGTTAGGGTAAACGAGTGCCAGTTATGCCTACTCGCTTATCGTGTTACATGCAGGGGCTGCAAGTGTTGCGAGATAGTTTAATTTGTTTTCGCCTCATTTTACAAAAAGAAAACTCCAATATACAACACGCCGCCATACAATCGGCGTTTAGTCATTGAGCCGTTGAAGTGTTAAGTACATGTTTAACTATAATATACAACAACGGAAGAGGAATTTGCAATGTTGTTTTTTTATTAAATGCTCTCTTGAATATCAGATATAATATTATGCTTGGGTGCAGCACTGTGTTAAGAGGAACATTTTAAAAGTTTGTTTTGCTCTCGCAAATACAAATAATTTAAATTGTACGTTAAATTATTCTTAAAAAAAATAATGCTATAATTGCCAGTATAAGAATTTTATAAGCATTTGCAGAAGTTAGAAGTTAATTTACCAGAAAATCATTTTAATACAATTTATTCTGATAACTTAACGTATGTATTTGTTAAGACTCGACTACCTGATATCATATTTTTTTCAGAATACTTAAAATTCAACAACACCATATTTAAAAAACAATTAATAGCGTTGCTATATA